CAAGTGCCAAGTAGAGATGCGGGATAGATACAATCCAACGCCACAACCAAGAGCGTCAACGCCGACGCAACCCCTCCTCTCGACCGGACCCGACCAGGGGGCCAAAACAGCCGAGCAAGCACTCACCCTCGGAGTAAAAAAAAGAGGGAGAGGAGGCAAGGCGAGGCGGTGGGGAAGAGCAAAAAGGCACCGACCCGACGCTGGGGAAAAGGCAGAGATCCCACCACAAGGGCAGCGGTGAACAGGCGGGGGGCGGGGGGGGACACCCGACCAGCGGGCGTCGTCGGATGACGATGCGATTGTGATGATGATCAAGTAGCTCTTCTTGATACCTCTCTTCCGTCCTGCTCTTCCCTCTCCTCGGCGACGATGTCGGCCAAGCGACACGACACCCCCCTCAAGTTTTTTGTGTGTGTGTGTGTGTGTGTGTGTGTGTGTGTGTGTGTGTGTGTGTGTGAAATGGGTGAGACAAAAGAGTTTTTACTCCTTTTGTCTCTCTCTGTCTCTCTCTGTCTCTCTCTCTCTCTAACCAATTCATCTCTCTCTCCTCTTTACCCAAACGCCTTGCGCCCAACCTCTCTTCATCGGATTGTGTGTGTGTAGACGAGCTTTCGCTGCTGCCCCAACCTATGGGTTTCTCAGATTTGCAGAGGAATTGGCGAGCGCGCCATGGTGTGGGGGACAGGGATCACTTCATTCTTCAGCTTTGTCCATCCAGCGTTTGTGCAACAGCGTTCCTCTGATGTGCAACACACTTCTTTTCCCCTAAGAGGGTACCACCATGTGCTCACAGAAAAATCATCATGATAATTACAATTTTATATTCGAATTGACATGCCTGTTGCCCAGCACGATGACGGCCCCTGTCTTGCTGCTGCCATTCGCAGCGTACCGCATCACGCTGCCATTCGCAGCGCACCGCAGCGCGTTGTCTCTCCTGTCTCGATCTCTCTGAAGGACTCACCAGCCGTGTGTGTGTGACGAAAAACATAAGAAAAAGCAAGAGCTTACCTACCAACGTTATTCGCTACCTCGCTCTTGTCCGGTCTCACGTGCCAGGTTCTGCATGGGGCATACACTGTACTGGTGTTGTGTTGTGTCGCTGTTCTTATCGTTATGGTCGTTTGTGGTGATTGGTGTGATGCTTTGGGCCAAGTCTGAGCCGGCGGGCGAGTTGCGGTGGTCGCATTGCTCCAGCACCGAGCTGGTACGGTGCAAGACGCACCCGGCAAAGAAGGTGCAGAGCAGGCACAAGGCGCCAGACTAACGACCCATGGATCGCCCCATCAACTCCGTCCAATATTCGCTACCCAAGTCATGCGGTTAATATCACGTTGCTACTTCGTGAACCTGTTACAACTCACACCAAGCCATAGCACATGTATCCCACCACCCACTTGTCAGACATTTTGATCCCAGTGGAATAAAGTAAAATACATACATGTCATTGCGATCGTCGGAAAAAAAAAAAAAAAAAAAAAAAAAGTTGACTGACGGCTGTTCCTGCTCCGCCGGGTCGTCCTGGTTGCCACCCTCTCACCCTCTCTGCTGCGCCTGATCGATATCAATAGGATGGATTGTGATGGGATCCGCGGCGTGGTCATCTACCGCCGGCTCGGAGAGCGCGTCAATGCAACACAAGTTGCAGCAGACGCCGATCATTCAGAAGTCAATCACACGACTTATGAGCTCATACTTCAACAGTAAGCCCCCACCCCTGTTGAGGCGCCTGTACGGCCTTTTTCCAGACTCCCGGAGAGGCCCCTCGGCTCGCCTTACAGCAACCACCCGATCAGCACCTCTCCCTCCCTCACGTTTGTACGGCCGTCCGTTTGTAGCATTTTTCCCACTATAGAGGCGGCCGTGACAAAGCGCCATGGTGCCAATGCCGCTCCAATTCCTCCCGGGGACGGCCTCTATCAGCGCGTACTTGCCCACGAAGCGAGCCCCGCGTTTTTTCGCACGAGTGAACTGCCCCTGCCCGTTAGGGCGCATGTCCAATACCCCTTTCACGCCCTAGGGCCCCTCTGGCCCGTTTACATCCATCGCGATGTATGAGCTTGCATGACGCGCCGGCTCCTGCTCGCCAGTACGCCATCCCCCTTGGTCCGGCAATTAATCCTCATGACGTGCCAATACATTTTCATACCACGTGTGCAGGAAAACGTGGCTTGTGCCGTTGTCATTGGTACTACTCAAGCTCTTCCCTCGGATTCCTGGGCCTCAGCTTGGTTGGCACACGGGCCGGTCGCGAGCGGGGCACCTCAGCATGCTTTTTTTCTGACCCCGCGCTCCCTGTTCCCCCTTGATCCGACATAGCACCAGCATGCCCATGGCAATTGCCGCCGCTGAGGCTCTTGTCCGTCTCGTCGCTCGATCCCTGAAAGGCGAATCCGTACGAGCCCTGCCCACCGTTGCTGACGTGCCTTGAGCCATCATCGCCCGCCTGGCCGGCGTATGATTTTATCAACAAGCTATATAACCGCACTTATGCCCGCCACCCTGCAGCTCCGGACGCTGCGGAGTGAACTCCTGACCTACATTCAGCTGACCATGCCATTCGGGTTTTTCAATGGGGCCAGCTATGCCCAAGTAGGCGCGCTGCTCGCGGCCGGCCGCACGGCCAGCGCCACCCCGCCAGCTACCTCTGATAATGTGAGCACTCTGACCTTGCTGTTGATCTCAGCAAATCATCTCGTCTTCTTCCGCCATCTTATATCAATCAGCTCATTTCGTCGTCCCACTACTCCGCCCCCATGCCCACTCGCTCGCTCGCTCGGTGCCCCCTTCAGATGCCAGCGTGGCGAACAGGCAACTATGCCGGACAGCCCGTCGTGCAATTTTTATTGCAGGAGCGATATGAAGGCATGCAATGCGAGTCGGATGTGAGATTTCTTCACTTCAGCTTTCAACTTGGCGCCTTTTTTCTTGCACAGTCTTCCCAGACCATCAGCCTGCAGGTGCTCAACCACTACCCTTTTGCACCTGATCTAGTCATGGGACGACGTCTTTGAGATCTATGGCACCCTGCACGCCAAGGTACAGCTGTACCCACTGGTTTTTTTATTTTGGTTTGACGTACCATACATCGTCTTATCTTTGAAAGCGCCTGGCTAACTTGGCACACAATCGTTGGGCGGGGCGTTTCTCTTCGCTTATCTTCAACATAGATTTTGCTGCCAGGATCACCCATGATCACCATCAACATCGAGTCCCAAATTCCGCTCTCTTACGTAGCATATCACCACAGTGTTCGGGTATGAACCTGCCCATGGTGGGGGCGCGGCTGCCCAGCAGCCGGTTATCAACTGAGCCTTGGTTTTGCCATATAGGAGAATAAAACTGTGCAGCCAGAGCATCGCTGGCAGCTGTCCCTCACCCCGCCAGAGGAAGGCTTCACCCTTTTGGCTTGCTCAGTACGTGCATTCTCTTCGACCAACGACGCCTGCTGGTGGGCTCTTGCCACAAAGAGTCTTCAAGTAAAATTTTACATTCGCTTTCCTCATTCGTTTTTCTCTTGCTTCCTTTGTCTGGTTGGGCGCCGACTCCCGCGTCAAACTCGGACGCAGGCCCGGACAAGTGGGTTAAATCCGCCGGTGCGGGGTTTTTACCAGATGACGGTGAGATAAACCGTCACACCCTGTTATCACCCCGAGCCGCATCTCATGGAAGCCCTTCCGCGCGGTCGTGATACCAGGAGAATGGAGCCCAGCGCGTCGACTTTTTGCTGCAAATCAAAGTGAATGAAGATATCTCCCTCGCTCATCTTGAGGGTCTAGAAGCGTTTTTGCCGTTTTTCCAGCGTGGCGTCATCAAACGACTTGACGTGCATCCACAAGCCGGTCGGTCAGCTGTTCTTGTTGGCCTCACAGATTTACCGCTTCGCTCGCGCTGGCTCACGTTTCTAATGGCTTGCTGCAGGCAACGCTGCAGTTCACAAGGCCCACGAGCTGGTTTGGAAACTGTCGCGAGCAGATTTTCAAAATAGCAAGGATCGCGAGCTCTCGCTCAAGGGGAGCGTCTACTTTGATCGCACTCAGCCAGATGTACCAGACCCAGACATGTTCTGCGAAGGCCTCAAGAGCTACGCCTCTGTCCTCCTCACCACCGCGGGCCACTCCTACTCTGGACTGCAACCTGATCTCAGTGCCATTAAGGTTGGTCATTCCTGTTCTTTATCGGTGCTCTCTTATGATGTCCAGCTATCACGTTGCACCCCAACCCTCACGGTTATCCTTCATCCCTTGCACGCTTTTGGTCTCTCCAGATCGACCCGGCACCAGCAGGCAAGTTCAAGCCTAGCTTAGAGGTGCGCGGCACCACGCACCAATTTCGCCTGTGGAATCTGCTAGGTGAAGCTCGTGGTTGGTTTGGTAGCACCAGCGAGGTTTTGCGCGGTGACTTGCGGTAGTCGTGGTCGCTCGTGTTTGCTTGCGAGTGCACATGCTTACGCCGACGCAGGGCATAACAAGCACAGTCAATTTATTCCTTTGTTTCATCGCTTAGATCATACAGCATCGTGCTCACAACACGATAGTGTTACTTCCGAGGAAAACGTACAACCACACAAACCCACACAAAAACACACAAAAACACACGCAACAGACTGATGCACCAACGCATTTCTCGGAGATGGATGGGCCGTCAACTTCTTCTGAGCACGCAACCCCCGTGCCAAATGTGGCTATTTTACATGCGAAGATCCATGTATGCGTCAAAGTGTACCGCGCTTTTGTTCAGACTGAAGCTATTCGTCCATGGTCACACAGCATCCACGCAACACCAGCTGATTGCTGCTCTCAAAGGCATCACTGGTGAAGGTCACCTCAAACAACTACCCAAAACAAAGCAGAAACTGTGAGAAGGCCCATCATCTTCTGCAACCACTTGTAGCATGCGAGTGCGCGCTCACCTCGTTGTCATCTCCATACGAGTGGCTGAGGCCGCGAAGCAACGGCAATTGCAAAGGGCCCTTCTTCCGCAAGTCATCGGCCCTCGCGACACGACGCGTGCGACCCTCATCCTGTTGGCATCACACGAGTATTATATCAGATAAGCGCCCCATAGCGCTGTTGCATCGGTCGGACGACCCATGTTTCTGTGATGGAAAGGACCTTTGTAGGCCGACATACCGGTGGCTTGGGCAAAGAGTAGTGCACATGGATCACAGGCAAGGGGGTCGCCACAAAAAGAGGGTGCTCGCGCACTTCGCCAGGTGGATTATCCCAGTAGCACCCATACAAAGTAACTCCGTGAACAAACATGCCCTCAGTGGGTGGCTCGCGCAGATGCTCGCGCTCACTGCCGTGATGAAGAAACCCACCCATTCGAAGTGTGAGCATCCAACAGAGACATGATAAGCAACGACAAGAAGGAAACAATGACCCTTCCACAAACGCACCGGGTTGTAGCTTCCGCAGAAAACCGCGTCCCTTCTCCGTTGCTCAGGACCGACTTGATCTTGAGCGCAGCAAGCACGGCTCGCGGGAAAGGAAGACACCCAAGCCCTGCGTTACATGCCAGACGCGTAGTGTGTATGAGTTCCCGGCTGCGCCCCGTGTAACACTCTTGCTCAGAACGAATGAGGCTACCAAAGGAGGAGAAAACCTAGGTATCACGCACCTAAGGAGGGATTGCGGAAACCACCGGATGCCACACGCTCGACCTCTTGCACGCGTGCCGTCATGCGCTCGCACCACGACGTGAGGTTAAAAAAAAAAAAAAAAAAAAAAAAAAAAAAAAAAAAAAGGATCAACGTTGAGAGCACACCGCGTGAGAACGCCACTTGGCCCCATCCGCTTGCCAGGCCTCCCTTGACTTGGCAGGGCATTCATGTTGCCTACAGCAGTTGCGACTCCTCGCTCACAACGTACATTGTAGCGTGCTGTGGGCTAGCCAGGCCCTCCCAGCTGGGGGGCACCCGGTTGTCTGCAATGCAGCGCAGAATCTCCACCAAATACGGAGACTTGGCAAAGACGCCCCGCACGAGGCACTCCAGCGCCTGCATGTCCCTAAATATACGGCGAACACTACGCAAGACGCTCTCCAACTGTATCTGGAAGCATCTGTTCGCGTCACGCATCGGGAACAGTGAGGGCTTTCGAGGGCATCCGCGCAAACAACAATTCAGGACTGTGGTGTTAATGTGCATGGAACCTCAACAGACTCAGAATTACGAGTTCACGGGGGAGAAAAAAAGGTTTTGCATCGACCAACACGACGAACATCCTCAAGACACGATGCTTGCGAGTGGTTCAAAAGCACAACGAACAAACAAAGTCGGGCGAAGCAGAGGAAAACTCACCGGTTAGCGGCTGGATTGAAGTTTGCAGACGAGAGCTTGCGCAGCGTCTTGACCAAGGAGGCCTCAGAAGGAAGCAAGGACATGACGCGGACAACCTCGACCGGCAGCAAACGGTCTTCGTGAACGACCAGAGGCTGTCGTTCTGAGCGATCGCGTCCTCGCGCCCTGGCTGTGGTACGCTTCACCGAGGCCATGGTCATGGACGAGCGACGCGGCTTGCTGAGGCGGGATGGCATGTTTGCCGACGAGATGTTGCGAGCCAGGTGATTTGAACGTGCTGCTGATTGCCCCGACTCGTCTAGCCAGGGCAACAAGACACGAAGCGCTTCGCGTAGCAAAAAGCTCACGTTCTCTGACGGCGTCTCCTTCACAGACTCGGCGGTGGACAACTGGCAGATGGATGACAATGCGGCGTCATCCAGTGACAGTGACGAGGCAACTTGCCGTGCCAAATCTAGCATCTGTGCTTGCCGTGACTTGAGCCGAGGGTTGATACTGGGCATCTTGTACGACTCCAAGCCCTGGAATGCATTAGACCCAGGTGGCGCAGCTGTGCGGAAAAATTCATAGCCGGGCTTGCAAGCACTGTTACTAATCCACATGGACAGCAGAGTGGATAGCATGCGTCGATCGTGCTGATTGGTCAATGCACTGCCGTACTGCAACTCCATGTAGTGGCGCAGCGCCACCATACGCTGGCTGCCTCCGCTCTGGGAAGCATAGACCGCAGCAGCAAAGTCCAGAGCCTCGTCCAGGTAATTTTGCGGGAACTCGACGGTCGATCGCCAGCCGATTGAGCCAAAGAGAGCGCGGCCCTGAAAGACCAAATGACAGAGACAAATGTTGTGAACCAAATGCAACCACTCGGGCCGCGACGAACAGGTCACCAGGCGTAGTGGCAAGTCGGAGAGGTACTGAGCCAAGCGGCGGCGCAGGGTGCTCTCTGCTGCTGCAGAGACCATGGTGCAGCAGGTGAGGAGAGGCTCGGGCAGGTGGGCCGTGCCTGTAACCAGCAAGAATAGCCGAAATTGATCATGACGCTGGGTTCGCATGGCTGCGCGCGCCACACGGAAGCAAGTCATGGCTAGATTGATGTTACTCTCGATGTCTGCCAAGAAGAGCCACCAGCCGCGCGCCATGGCCATGCGCAGGTGCGCCAATACCGCCTTGGGCTGGGCATGCTCGCCCACTGACATGATCACATACTCTGGGGCCTCAGCGCATTGCGCCACAAAAGCACGAGCCGTACTGCGTGGCTCAACGCATTGAACTACGGTCGGGTGGGCTGAGCCAGCTGCCGTGATCGTCTCAACAATGTTGCGGATGTTGGCGCGCACGTCCGAGCGTAGACGAAGGTAGCGTTGCGAATAAACATCGCAGGCCTGCGCAAAGCGATCTGGGCGCAATGCGCCGAGTATCATCAAGAAGTGTCGCGTGCCCGGCCCGGGCAGCCAGGAGGGACCAGAAGGCAGAGCCATGGTTTCCGGCACTGGCCCATCTTTCCAAGTGACCCAATCGCCACGGTGGCGTGCGATGGGCTCAACAAAGTCGGCCAAGGGCGCGAGCCATTCAGTGTCCCTCACCTCAGCCGTAGCAGACACAATGCGCGCCTCTACTTGGGCCACGCGGGCTTTGAGGTCTGCGAGGGGAACGATGCCCCCCTTGCTATCCACAGCAGGCCCAACGTCGAAAGTGGGCCAGTCGTGCTCGAGCTGCGGGTCAGGACGCTGTAGCCACTGATAAAACTCCTCTAGTGAGATGTCATCAGGAGCCGGCCCGAGTGTTTCTAGCTGAAGCGCCAGGACCATTTCCAGGACTTTGCAATTGGCCTCGCTTAGCTGCGGGCGAATGCGGCCAAAGAACTCACCCACCATGACGCCTCCAAGTTCCACGCCGCTGACGTTGCCCGAAGACAAGGCCTTTTGGACGGCGCTGTCAAAAGCCATAAGGAGCACATCGGGTACCAAGTAGGTGCTGTCCAACGCAGGTGCAATGCAGGCAGCGTGAGCAAGTGACGCCACCTCGAGCGCCACCGTGTCGTACTGGACCAAGGTGGACATGAGCTTTTCAGCCTCTGCCCGAGTTGCCGTGGCACGCCCTGCCAGCAGCGAGTACTCGCGCTGCGTTGCCACAATCTCCGCAGCCCACTCTTCAAGAGTTTGTGGAACCCGCCCACTCAGTTCTACGGCTCCGCCAGAAGGCGCAGGCATCCTGAGTGCCGATGGAGCGGCTACTGGCGAAGCGGCCTCCTGAGTGGCCGGTGTGGCCAAGAGCTGAAGCAAGCGCTGGCGCAATTTGTGGGCGCGAATCGTCTCGCTAGCCAGTGTCCCCATGCTTTGGCTCAGGGCTGCATGAAGCCCCGGTAGTTTGGACAGAACAAGCCGGGCGAAAAAGGTACGGTGCCATTCTGTGATTGTCGGCACAAGAGAGACCTGATGGACGTGTTCCTGTAGATGCTGGGGCACCGGCACTGGCGTTTGGCACACCAAGACCAGCTTGAAGGCTGGGTTCCACTCGACGACCTCTCCCGCCAGTACCAGCGCGCGACCACCTTGCGAGGTCTCGCTTTCCTGGCGCCGCAACAAGCTTAAGACAACCGGATCACGCCAAGCAGAATCAGTAATCTCGGTCATAATCACAAAGCTCCCCATGCCCAAAGCCAGTTTGATCTCGGCGCGCAGGTTCTGGCTGGTAAACTTGACAAGCCGAAGCGATTGCGGCCGCAGGTGATAGTCAGCATAACCAGCCGAACGCGGTGCTTGCTGCAGTTCACGCTGCAACCAGCTCACTGCCAAGCCAGCAGGATCATATAGCATACACCACTCATGTCGGAACCAGGTCATGCTGAGTCGCGAATGAAGAAGCGTTTCGCTGTTGAAGTGCAGCGCTTGATGTAGGCCAAGGTCATCCTCCACGTCAATGTCCAACCCGGTGATGTACTCGTGCAAACAAATGGTATCGAAAACCACTGGGAAATGTGCGAGCATCTGTTGCTCTCGCTCAGCAACCTCATCAAACACAGGCATTGAGAGCGAGCTGCTTCGACCAGGGTTGATGGGTTGCAAACGGGCCGTTTCTAGAGTAGCCACCAATGAGCTACGGCGACCACGGGTAGTGCGCGCCGCCACCTCGCTACTGCGGCGTGCACGAGGAGGCGTGACATGGCTATCCTCAGCACCATAGAGCTTGGAAGAGCTCTGCAGCGTCTGAATGAGGCTTGGGGGTTGGCGTCGCAACTGTTCGGTTGCAGACTCGAAGCGGAGGCGATCTTTCACCACGTGAGCCGTCACGCGCACAAAGCTCTCACGGGCAACGCGGCGTTGAACATCACTGGCCTGGCTAGTGAGCGCCACGCTGGCCGCAATCAAAAGAGCGTTACGCAAGCATACGACTCCGCCTATAATGAGACTATCCAGTTCTGCTTGCCAGGCCTCAATGTATGGACTGAAGCTGGCACGCTGCTGACGAGCAGCCTGCAGCGACTGCTCCAACTTGGTCTGACTGTCTTCGTACGCCTGCAGTTCGCCCACCAAGCGGGCGTAGCGATTTTGCGCTGCTGCAATATCTGTCGACTGCCGAAGCAAGTCTTCGCCGGTTTTAGGCGAGAGTAGAGCCGCAGCCGAGCTTGGACGAGAGCCCGAGCCACCCACATTACTATCCGCCAAGAGGGCCTCAGAGGCCAGAGTAGCAGCATCGGTCGAGCGCCGTTGCGTTTTCTCTTTCTCCTTCTCCTCGGCGTCAGCTGGAACTGCTGTCTGAGCCAGGGCGCTGGATGGCCGTGATTCTGACTCGTGCGTTCCCCCTGTTGCTGAAACCGAGTTGGCCGCATCTGACACATTGTCATGACTAGCCTGGCCGATGGAGGAAGAGGGCGGCAGTCCCTGATCCTGGGCCGAATTCGTCGTCACAGATGAAGCATGGGCCGGTGTCTTTGCACTTGGTTGGTCATTCGCGGCTTCCGTGGCTGTCTCGATGACAGCCTCGGAATGGCGATCGGCTGTCGCCAGCAACGGCGAAGATGCTGTCGCACGCACGTTGTCGACTTCGCGGCGATAGGCCAACATGGACATGATCCATTGCAACAGCACAGCTGCATCCTTGGACGCGTGGCGAGTTTGAGTTTCAGAGATGTGGGCATTCTGTACGTAAGTTTCGAGCAATTCATATTGCTCCTGATCCATCTGGCGAACGTCAAACTTTTGAATGGCTGGTAGCAACAACGGATCTTGTAGCTGTTTGGCGGTGTGAGCCCAGTTGTCGATAAAAGTACGTTGGTTGCGGCGCGTCGCAGCATCGCTGGGCAGTGGGCGGCGCAGCGCGATCATGAGCATGTCCGCTACATGCCGGATTTGCTCGGGTGGATTAGGCAAAGTGCGAACAGCGTCAATGCGTTTCAGCGAGAGGCGCGCCTGTGCGTCTGCCACACGTCGAAAAGCAGAGTCCAGGGCCATGCGCACAAGCATGCCGTGGGTTTCGCCGTGCGGTGCCACCAGCGTTTGGCGACGCTTGTTCATGAACGTATTGAGCATGTGCTCATCGTCGTCGCTCTCAAAGCCATCATCTGCCATGCCGTCAATCACGTCTGCCGCACTGTGGGCAAGCTCGCCCAAAACTGCATCAATTTGCTTGGCCAACTTGGCTAAGCAGATCTCGTTGTCCTTCCGCTCTCGCTCCAAAGCGGTGATTCGTGCATCGGTGGACCCGCAGGTGTCAATCACAGCCTGCAATTGGGCTTTCCGGTCCTCGGTGGAAATTCGCTCCCGCTCATAGACGCGAACAAATGCTTGCAGGCAACGATGAAGGTGCAGCAAATCGTATCGCTCCACGCGTTCAAGCAAGCGTGAGTGTGACAGAGCCGCCATGAGCTTGGCATGGTAGTCTCCTAGACCGTCCAAATCCAGCGATCTTGCGGAGGCACAAACCTAAGACACGAGTGGAGAACACGAAATGACAAGGAGGGAGGGGAGGGAAAAAAAAAAAAAAAAAAAAAAAAAAAAAAAAAGAGGCAAAGCCATGGGCACAATTTCCTGATGAGCACATGCTTGCAATTCTTAAAACACCAGGCTTGACGAAGCAACACGATCATCCGCACGGGAGTTGCGCGAGTCGAACAAACCTCTTCGAGAAGCTGGCCGGCCTGTAGAACACCACTGACGGACATATGCCGCATGCAAGGGTGATGCAAGAGCAGGGCCACTGATTCCTGGCGGTGTGTGACGGCATTGAGTGGCGTTACATTGCAAATGTAGCTGTTGGCAAACCAGGTCGGGAAGGCTTGGGCAAACTCGGCCAGCTGGCCGGTCCAATTTTCAAATAAGAAGACAAAATGCAAATTGTTTCGCAGGCGCCGTTTGAAGAGGGTCGAAGGTGACTCGAGCGCTGCATCGGACGCGTTGGCCTGGAATCCCTCCATGAGCGCTCGTTCCTCTTCGAGGGAGAACAGCGAATCGATGGACCCCACGGCGATGTAGGAGTTGATCTCGGCCAGGATGTCATTCGTCAAGACATTGCCCTCGATAACAGCCACACAGCGCTGGTTCTTTGTGCCGCAGTTGCGGTACAGGGCGCGCATTTCGCGATGAAAGCCGGAAAGATCGGTAAAAGCCATCTTACGCATCTCGCTTTGCGCGACGATGGCGGCACATTCAATCGCCACCGTCAATCGTGCCAGTGGGGGCGCCACAAACACAGCATGACCCTGCGGCATGTTAATGACACGCAGCAGGCGCTGGATGTGATGCAACATGCGCGGAGCCAATGACCACAGATGCCCTGTTTCCTCGAGCTTGTCCTGACATATTTGTTGCAAGCGGCCCTTGAGAATGGGCCAACGGGAGGCCAGACAGGACCCTTGCCGATGCTCCTCGCCTGCAGCGCTCACTGGTACCACTGCTTCTGCCTCGACAAAGTCAATAAACGTGTCCGGCCAGGCACTCGCCTCAGAATGGGCAGGTGGCCAGCTAACCATGGCTGATGCAGTGGCGTTGAGCTCGGCGGCGTCAAGGTGCGACACTGTCTCCACGTGAGAGTCGAGTGCAGCTCGAATTGACGCCTCGAGATCAGCACGCGGTGGAGCGTGCGGAAAACACGCCCCCCAGAGCTCGTCGACGAAGGTTGTCAGCGGCAACGTTACAGCAGACATATGAATCTGGTCATACGCCAAACTGACGCGCTCAAAAACATCGAGCACACACAGCCCTGCTGCACTCAGCTGCTGCTGAACGTGAGCCAGCGGTGAGTTGGCAGCCTCAAGGTCGCTGTTGGCCATGGCCCACGAATAATCGCGGCGGAAGGGAACCAAATTGTAATTGCTAAGCGAGGTGCCGTCTGTTGCGGCGGCGGCGGCATCATAGGTGGACTGGTCCGCCAACGGCGCCACCACGTCCTCCTCGATGACAGAGGGCGCTGTGTAAGGTCGGTTGAGGAAGGGCACGAGCGGAGCAAACGTTTCGCTATCTGCAAGCACGCCGTGCAAGAGCTGCATAAACCGAGAGTGGTGCTCAGCCAGCGTCATGCGGTCTGCTAAAACGGCGATACATTCTTCATACCACAAGGCCACCCGCTCCGTTTGTGTTAGGGTAAGAAGGTCTGCGCGGGCCATGCCCTTGGCAATCGCAGCCTGCGAGCGAAATGTACACGCCACGTGAAAAGAGTCGGGCGAGATGGGCACAAGTTGGCCTTTCCAACGGTCGGCCAGCTGGACTAGCATGCGGCTCAGCTCATCCAGCTCCATCAGAACTTGCAAGTAATGCTGATCGCGCTCCATGAGCTGTTGGTGCCCAGAAGCGGCGTCCCCGCTCTCGGTGTCACGCATAACGCCAGAAGGCGCAACTTGCGGCAAATTGGATGCCATCAAGGCTGCCAAGATGCGCTGATTTGATTGAGGCTGGCTGTTGGGAAGATATATGACCGTGAAGTGCCGGGCAAGGCGCGAAAAGGAATCGACTGTTTCCGTGCCCGCCATTTGGGGTTGGCCAGTGGCAATGATGCGCACGTCGGCAATCCAACGCACGCTGGCAAAACGATCCTTGTCCTGCGCCATGCCTTTGGCGGCTGCACCACCGTTGTTATTTGGCACGTTGCCGCTGGCCTCGGAGCGCGCGGGATGGTCCAGTGCATCACGGCGTGGTTGCGTGGCCGGAAAGCACTGGCCCGTTTCCAGGAGCAGACGCAGCGTTTCATAAAGCTCGTTGAGCTCTGCGTGGTCTTCACCAAGAGTGCGCGAACTGTCGAGGTCATCCGCAGCTATGATGAACGGTTTGCCACCTTCAGCACCGTAAACTTGCCCGGTCCGTTGAACCGTGTTGCGTGACATGAAGCGCTGAAAATGACCCGCAAATGTGCTGCTCGTGACGGCATACGCGTTGACGGCTGCATCCTTGAGTCCACTTTCCAGGAAGGCTTGGACAGTCTGTGACTTGCCACAGCCGTAGGGTCCGACAACAAAGACGTTGGCTTCCGTGTCTTCTAGCAAGCTAAGGAGTGTGTGTCCACAAACGACTTCTCTGTAGAGCGGGCCGGGGCGTTGCAAGATGTTTTGAGACGTGAGGGAGCAGGTGCAGAAGGACTAGGCACAGGGGTATCGAGTCAAATAACATACGGTGTATAGAAGAGCTCGGGCTCGTTGCCTTGCATGGCCCGATCATACTCGCGATCTGCATCGAGTGCGCACAATCAGCACCCATACATGAGCATAGGCAACACGAGAGTGCACAGAAATAACAAGCGGCACGAGAAACAATGTGGTACCTGTGGCCAGCTCAGCCCAGCTCTCCCAATCAGCAAGCGGTGAGATGTTGTAATCAAACACGGTCAGACCCGATTGTTCATCGGGTAAGAGAAGGGAAAGCTTGTTCATGGCTTCGTGAAATGGAGCGCGCTCAGTCTCGTGCAGCCCGCCCCCTGTGAGCCAACAAGGGGATGCAACGCGAAGTAGAATGAGCACATGATCGCAAACCCCATTGGCATGAGCTTAACGCACTTGCGCGCAAACACTGACAAGACCTTCTCTCCAGGTTTTACAGAGCACATGATCGACGAACAAACATATCCCCAAAGCAACAAACACGATACGACGCACCCAGCGACCAAGTTGTGGCAAAAAGGACGTAGCACTCGATATTGTCCTCGGGTAGAATCATGGCAGCTGACACAGAATTTGCCAAAAGAGCTGTCAACAACTGAGAAAAGGTGCGCACTTGAGTGCTGAGCGCTACGGCGATGACAGCGTGCGGCTGATTTTCTTGAAGATATTCGACCATAGGTAAAAAGATCTTGTTGATCAGATCCCGGAGTATGGCAGCCTCTTGGGAGCGTCGCGTGGCAAGCCAGGGTTCCAGGAAATGCATGGCCTCGAAGCAAGTTGACGAGACGCGCACCACACGGGCGTGCTCTACGAGCTCCTGGAGATGAGGCGAGTCGGCATCCGCGGTCTCAACAATCCACTTGACGTTGCGAGGCTATAACGCGTATCCACGACCGTATCCATTCATGTCGTACAATATAGCGTGCAAGCCCATGAGCAATAAAATTGCATGTGGAACATTTCAAAGGCACTGAGCAAAAGTTATGATAACATGCGCTTCAGCACTCAAGCACTTACCACGGTGAGCTTATCCCCGAGACCCAGCGTCATGGTGGGCTCCTCATCACCAAGGAAATAGCAATTTAGAATAGAAGCCCATGTGCCATCCAAGTTGCCATCGAGGTGAATCCAGTGGCAGGTGCTTTCGTCACCTGCCTCTCGCGCCTAACAAATAAAAGGGCGTGTGGACACATGCGCACATTTCATCAAGCAAAATAAAGTGAAAATGAAAATAAAAATGTGCAAGTCAACATGGACACTAGAAGAGTGGATGAACTTGTCACATGCGCTTCTCACGACAGGGTGATTTGCGGTCAACAAGACGATGACTGGCCCAACAGGAATAACAGAAAGAAGGCGCCTCAGTGCTTACCCGACGAACGATATCAGTCAGCAACCCGTCGACCCAGTCCACCTCGTTCAGAACGCCTCCAAAGAGGCGGGCGTGATCGATGCACACGGGATAGACGTGGTGAATGCGGGGCTTGCCGAATTGCGCGGTTTCATCGCCAGCATACGACCCGATCAGAGTTTCAATCAGCGTTGATTTTCCAACGCCCGGCTCGCCCAGCACAATGGTTACAGCACTGGCTTGAAGGGCAGAGTGTAGAGCGTGTGCCGTAGCGAGCCACGTGCCATTCGTTGTTAAGCCTCGAAGACTGGCCATGCGCAAAAGGTGTTCATTTGCGGGCCCCACGGGCATTTTCAATCTAGCCAAAAAAAGTGAAATCGACGAATCTGAGTTACGAGGGCGGGGAACACAAGAATCAACCAGTGCACAAAACAAGGTGGCTGACAACCATACCGCGGATACAACAGGCGAAACTTGGGTGCCACAGTTTCTGCAACTTCGGCAATGGTGTGCTGATCACGAGAGTCCAGAGCGCTTTGATAAAACTCAAAGATCGCGCAAGCCACGGCCAAGCGCTCCACCTCATCGGCTGCTACGCGGTGAGTGTGCTTTGCGGCCGTTAGCGTGCCATGTCGGCGTGGATTCGAGACCTTGTTGGCCAGTACTGAGCCCACACGTTGGTGGGCGCTGCCGCTTGCAAGGTTCGAGCCGCGACGCGGAGCTTCGTTCAGTGCAAGCTCCTCGTTCTTAATGGCCTGAGGTTGGTGCGAGAGCAAGATAAGTCCAAATAGTCTGTGGTATCCTCGCGGACCCAGCCACAAACATGAAAAAGAAGCGCAAGAGGCCGGCTCACCTCTACGCGTGCAAGAACCTCTGGAATGGTACGCAAGATCTTTTGCCAGGCGCGAAAGCCAAAGCTCAGCTCAGACCGATTTTGAAAGAGATCCTGACACAACTGTCGACGGTTGCCGCACACCAGATAGTGATGAGAAGGTACCGAGCCATCAGCTATGGAAAGCGTCGTGGCTTGCTTAGCAAAAAGGCATCACCCGACAATCATGGCGCACCGAGAGGGCTTGTGTGGCGGCCTCGGCAACGTCCTCGGCATGAGCAAAGAGGCCGGCAGCCATGGTGCAGATGCGAATGATGGCCTTGGGATCCGGCCGTATACACTGTGCGCAATACGTTCAACGAGAGGTGTGCGTCAGCAAAACTTGAGCGTGTCAATGTCCCCATACGCAGATGCAGATGAACTGCGACAGCACGGACGGGACATGACAAAGACCCAACACCGCGCGGCATTGCTCCCAGACCTTGATATCTCGAAAGGCATCGCGAAGATGGCGAGGAATCTTGTCCGGGGGATTGGACACATGGAAGGTAGCAAACACAGCAAACGGGCACCCGTGATAAGCCGTGTAGCCGCTCAAAATGTCTTGAACCGACGTCTTCTGCAAGTGCCCACTGCGAGGTGAGTCTGGCTCTTCCACGTCCTCCTGCCCAGACGAAGCCATTGGAAAGGTGTTTTGCATGCGAAAGCGCATGAGGCGCAAATGCTCCACAGCCATCACCAACACGTGATCCGGCAGTTGGGCGACGTCGTCCAAAACGCCCCAAACTTCAGAAAAGCAAATGCCGTTGAGCAAGCGCACCACGCTGGTGCTGTTCATGGAGCGCGTGCACGTGATCTACCAGGAAGGCCAAAACAGAGGCAAACGCACAATACGAAAGAGAGAGAAGCGTCATACCCAAAATCCAGCCACAGTCTATATCCAACGACGGCAAAAGCAAAACACTAAAGAGGCGCGCCCATGCGAGCTGTGGGAATACAAACCTTGTAGACATGACGGCCCAGCATCTCCCCCAAGTGGTCAACAACATGCGATGGCTGTTCGCCACTACTGCTGATGGCTGGGATGGGTGCGCCGTTGACCCCACCGCCCTGGCGCAAAACGTTGAGCAAGAGCACGTGGCCTTTCATCATCAGGGGCTGAAGAAAAATGGCCTTGGGCATGCCAAGAAAGTCTCCTGCAAAGGGCAGCGTGGCCTGCAACGCGTGCATCTCCAATTGATCATGATCTGGGTCGATATACCAGCTGCCAAAAAAGATGTTCAAGGAAAACAAACAAGGTCATAAATGGCCATACGCGCACCAAATGCTCAAGATAAAGCATACAACGGCAATGCGGGATGAGGAGATTGTGTTGGCCCCGTAAACGTAAGTGCGAGTGGTGGCTTGGACATGCACCCATTATGGAAAGGCCGGCGATTTCCGATCAATGCTCAAGACCCACATCCCAGCGCGCTTGAACACTGCATTGGCAGACATTCCAGTGTGCAGCTTGGGGTTGGAGCAGGCGCAAAAATCATGTGGAAAACGCCTTGTTGTTCTTGGGGGAGCTCGCTGCAAAGAGGCACAACCTTGCCCCTTACACTAGTTACTACCCCGTGCTAAATATCTTTGTTGTTTTATGGCTTAACGCAAGAGCGGGATAGAACTGGAGTAACAAAAGTTTGAGAGGGGCCAGGCAGCAACCTACCGTGGATGCTTGATCCAATGGAAATCGCTGAGATCCCGGCATCGCACCGAGGCCAGGTCATTGGTCAACTCACGAAAGTGAGTGAGCAACACGAGCACAGCCTGCATTTTGAAGACTTGTTGTGCCGTCTTGCGCCCACGTTTGCGAAAGAAGCTACTGGATGTCACTTTGTGAATCCATGAGGAAAGCTCGCTCATGGCACTTTTCAAACCGTTGCGATTGGCAGACATAAGCTCGAGCGCCCAGACGAGCAATGCGGTCCAATGCAGGCGAAGTGCCATCAACGTCATTTGAAGCGGCTCCGAATTAAGACTCTGGAGCGCGTTGAAGGGAGCATAAAAGGAATGCCGAGCTGCAGCTGCTGCAGCTGCTGCAGCTGCACCCTGTGCGCTCGAATCCTGACCGTTGTTCCCAGAGGGAAGCTGTGGTGAGGCTTCGCCATGGTCAGGCTCGTCATCAAGCAAATCAACGGGCGTGGCCACGCGTTGCTCCGGGCCTGAGTTGCGTCGATCATCGCCACTCGCGTCAAGCCCAGCTACACGCAAGGAATCAAAAGCGAGCGTAATTGCCTGTGCCGGTCGAGCACGCAGCTTGCCACACAACGCATGGATTCGCTGGCGCACGTCGCGTGAAACTTGTGATAAAAGCTGGGTCATCCACACGTCTGTCTGCAAACCCATTTGCACAGGACTAGAAAGCATGGACAAATGCACCAAACCATGAGATGAACAGACATGCAAATGAGGCCTCTTCTCTTCTTCCAACCCTACTGATCATGGAGAGACCGGCGCTTTTCTTGAACCCAACCTGGTGAGCTCGAGTTGCTCTCCATGGGCGTTATAGACGCCCTTGATTTGACAATGGCCGTCTTGATTGCTTTCATCACTTGTGCCAAGCGAAAAGGCTTGAAACATGGGTAGAATTGCCCTCCAAGCATCTGAGAGCTCGTGGGCATCCGACGCTGGCGTTGTCTCGCTGAGCGCACGCAGCAAAATAGGGTCCGACGCAAAGTAGAAGCTATAGGCAGATGTTTAATATATCAAGATGCGCTCGTGAATGACTCCCATTTGCCCCTCTTCCCCCCCCCAGAAAAAAAGAAAAGAAACTCCCCCTTGGTTAACAGCCCCGCACACATTCAGTTGGTTTTGATAGCACAAACCGAAAAAATTTGTTGCGGCGGCCTTGGAGATAGTCTGCCAAAGTGCGACGACAACCCTCCAAGCGTTCAAACAGACTTTGTAGGGCGCTTGCCTTTGACGAACTACCATCGCTGCCAAAGCAAAACTGTGCGCGCGCAAGAACGAACGAGGAGCAGGAAAGCGATCAGCAGGAGGAACAAGAACAAGACGAGAAGATGAGTCCCGCTGTCATTGACGTGCTTCCAAAACCAGCTTTCAAGTTTGATGAGTCCGGGTAGCCTACCTGCATAATATTGCCCACGTCACGCGCAGTTTGCGCAAACTTCAAAAAGTCGCGCTCAATCAGGTTGAGCTGATGCCGGGGACCTTCCATCACGACATGCACCATCATGATCTATGATCAATTGGGTCGTCACAAACACCCCAATGGTACAACCAACAAGGCTGTGAGAGGCTAGCGCAGACGAGTCAATGCATGTTCATGCGCTGCAGTGCGTCACAAATCCTCTGACCTTCATCTCGTGGGTCAAGCCTTGAACATCAAGCCACTGCTGCAGAAAGGTGGACACGCCCCGTAACTTGGCCAGCCACGAAACGATTTCATTGCTAGATGTAGTCCAGAGCGTGAAAGGTCAGGTGTGATTGTATACTTGCACGACCACAGCGTGCGACCACCCACCGATGCGGCCCAAGACTCGGCGACGTGAGCATGCTGTTTAGGCGCATGAGTGCATCCTGAGCCGAGGCGATCATGCCCTGTGTAGCTTGGCGTTCCAACGAAAAGCCCTAAACACCAATCCACAGGGCATGCGTGAATAGTTCTGGCACCGCTGATACTTTGGAAACTGCTGTTGTGAAATGTTGCCAGCCCATGCCGAGTCATTTCTTTTAACTAACCAGCTTGGGAGGCTTGCCATGGAAAGGAAACGCGCTGTCATTCCAAAGGGACTGGATGGCAGCCAATCCTTCCTCCAGATCGGCCTCGGCTACCGTTGCCAACGAAAAAAATGGTGGGATGAAGGAACCGGATGGTGCCGTGCTGCGTTGCAACACACAACTGAATAAACACGGCCAAGGAAAAACTCACCGGCAGCAAGGCGCGCAAGCTCTTGAATCTTGTGAGCGTAGTCCACGAGTTGGAGACTAAGCACTTTACTGAGGGTAAGACCCTCAAGTGGGAAAGTTGTCCCTGTAATGTGCATAATTTCGCGCCAATGACGATCTCGGATAAAGGGCTTGGCCATGAGCTTCAACAACGGCAATGACTGTCATTGCACACGCCACACTGATGGTGAGATACAAAACGCCAACGTCACAGGGAAGCCTAAAAATCACAAGATGCACCATCAAAAAAGCCAGGTGCAAGTGCTTCGGGGCTTCGTACCTCAAGCTGGCGCTTGATTGTCTCAGCCATTCGGGAAAAGGCTTCCCACTGGCGTAGACCACTCGGGAGCTGCTCCAGCTGCTGTGCCAGCTCTTGTAAGCGCGTCTCGGTTGCATCGAGATCTGCCTTTTGCCAAGGTGTTTCCAGCAGCGCCGTGTTGTCCTTGACAAACGTCTGATACATGTGGTACAGGCGCCACAATTGCTGAATTTTGCTGCGAATGAAGTTCAGTTCGGCAAACTGTGTTATCGGAATGCTCAGCAAATTTTGAACAGTCGCTAGTAGCCGTTGTTCTTCTGCAAGCTTGTCATAGAGCTCCTCAAAACGTTGCAGTCGTACCAGGGCCTCGTCGGCGCTGATCCCCTAGTATACGCCAATCCATCAAGACAGAAGGCGTCATCTGGAGATCGGCTGAACCGAGACCTATGCAAATCAATCATGCTACACCATACCTTCACCAAAGGGCCACTGGCATCAAAGCTATTGCGAAGGTGGATTGATGCCACCATTAGTGTCTTGACGTGTCCGTCAATCTGCCGCTCAAACTCAGGTTTACGCTCCTTGGTCAGGTGGTATCGGACCTGTACCGTGCAAGCCATACCCAGCCCCGCACCCAATGTCATACCAAGGTTGACCATGAGCAGCAGCCATGTGTCACCGCACTTTTGCATTCAAAGCAATGCCAAACCTGGTGCGACAGCTGATCCAAATTCGCTTGCTGCGTGCGAAGGTCACTGAGACGCTTCACCTCAGCGTCTGATAATTCGAGGCCTTTGGATAAAATTGCCAGAAAAGCACCAAATGTTAGAGTCCTGCGCAAGAGTTTGACCAAATCCCACCGAGGTCCGTACCGATCAAGTGTAAGATTTTATAGGCTTCTTCGATCGGCACAAGATTCACCTCCTACGTGTGAGAAGAGAGTTGCACCAGGTGAACTAAACGCCGCTTGTTGGGAACAAGCGCGCGCGTGGAGGCGGGGTTGTGCAGATTATTCAGGCGGACCTCCGCAAATGCATCGCCCTGTGCTTGAAGAACGTCAATCATGCCTTGAAGATCAATCAGAGAGGTCACCTCTTGCTCAAGTTTTGATCGCAGCCGAACGGCCGCCTATTTTGAGCAAACGCCCCTCCGTGAGGACAAGAGGACAGGAGGCATGTTTCGGTACCAAACAAGGCCAATTGCTAGAAGCATCTTTTGGACAGAAACTACTCACCTCTTCGGCTTGTTGCAGCTGCTCACGAACTTCCGTGTGCAATCGGGCAGCGCCAGCCACCTTCCACTGATTGTATTCGGAACGAAGCGCAAACTTAATAGGCCGACAGTCGAGGACCAGTGGACCAGAAGTAAACAGCGCATCCGGCAAGGATTCAATCTTCTCTTCGACTCGTTTGATTCGATCAAGACTTGAGTCTGGATTTACCAGGGCTGACACAGTCAAGGTGTCTGCTAAATCAGACCTAGCTCAGAAGGGAAGGAGACGGGCACGGGGACCAAAACAATCAACGTGAGCAGAGTACAACAAAGGCCCACGTCCTTTTGCGCTTGCCGTCAAGGCTCGTAACAGGCCACAACAAGCCCACCCAGCCCATCCAACTGACTCACCGGGAAGGCTGCTCAGTCAGCCCCCACAGGCGTAGAGAATTATCCAATGCGGTTAGTTCATTTTGACACTCTGCCCACAGGGCTCGCCAAGCACGGCGCACATCATGAGACAAGGTCACTAGGCCATCGCCACGCAAGACATCCGAGGCCGCCATGTCTTGGGTGGATGTATGAATGGTAACCAGCGCACGCTCCAAGTCATGGAGCTCGTCAATCTGTTCGGCCATGGTACGTGATGCCAGTTGTTGGCGCTCACGGCGGGTGGCCGAGGCAGAGCGCACACTCAAGCGTGACAGGTGCTCGCGTAAGGATGCCGTCTGTGCACGCATGGACGACCGCACTGAAGCAGACGCCTCGCGTACAAACTGCATGCTCTCCATATAAACGCTTGCGGCGTCAGCCATGATATCATCCATAAATGACTCCATGCGTGGGCCGGTAGGCTTGGCAGTCAGGCGCGGCGCAGCCATCTCCACAAGCACCATAAGACTGAAATCATGTTGCTCACTATGCATCCATTGCAGCAAGTCCTCGAGCGTGTGGCGGATGCACGAATCCAAGCTCTGCTCCGCACGGATCTGAATTAGGTTGATCAGCTTCAGCTAAGTGTGGGTGATGGCGTTGGCACGCCATTTCAAGGTGAGAAGGAACCACAAACCGTGCGCAGATCTGTACAGGACGCGAAAGGCTGCAACAATGCAAGTTGTGTCTCGAAACGTGCGTGCACTTGTTGCCGGGCTAGCAAACACGCGTGTGGGGGCCAGGAACATGAAGAGCGAAAGGAGAACATGGCATTACCTTGTGTTTGAGGAGTTGCGAGGCATCCCAAGAATTGTCATGAACAAATGAGTCGGAGCGCAGCAGCTCAACGCTGGTCAGCATCTCTTGCAGAGCCACGAAAGCGTTGCTCAGGCGATGTTTGGTTGTCACATCCTGCGTGCTGACAAGCTCAACGCGTCCGTGCAGCATTGTCTCGGCACTATGCTCGCCGCGAGGAAAGTGTACAAAGGTGGAGGCAGCCACTCCGTTGAGTTCGGGCTCGATCACGCAGGCCAGCTTGTCCTGGAGCTGTTGAACACCAGTGTCCAAAACGTCTAGTTTGTCACAGACGGCGCGCACAAACACGTCGATATTGGAGGCTTCCCAGGTGAGCGAAACAAGCCCGGGGCGCATGGCCTGCATAACAGCGTGGTACTGCGGCAGCAACAGGGGCTTGATCAGCTCGTCAATGGCGCTATTAAGCGCGTAAAAGCGGTCCAACATGCCAGTCAGTTGATCGGAAAACTGCTTGTACTTGCTGGCACGCGTCACCAGCGCGTGCATAGCAGCCGGAACTTGTATATCGGCTTGTGACATGGCACGCACTTCCTCCATGAGAGTCAGGACATTCTGGTCAATGTTGACCACAAGGCGGTTGGATGTTGGGTGTTGAACAAGCAAAGTGGCGCACATGCCTGAGGCCATAGCTGTGTGCTGAGAGCGCCATTCACTTAGCCACCGCTGCTGGTATTCGACGAGGGTTCCGTTGAGGGCCTCGAACAGCTCGCGCGTTTGAGCTGAGGGAGAAGCCCTCTGGTATACGTCGGGGTTGGCCGCAAAAAAGGCCATGGGGCCGGCCATTTTGTCTTGCAACCGGCGAGCCCAGAGGACGTGACCAATGACTGGCGCTGCACTGCGCTGGATCGGAGGGTTGCTCTTTTCGCGTTCGTAGACCGTCTGGAGCTCACGCAACTCCTCAGAGTAAGCCTCGTACGCATGAGTTTTGAGATCCAACAAGCAGACGCGCAGCCCGTCCCGATGTTCAAGTGCCTATTGCAAGGAGTAAGGTGCACATGAAACGACGCACAGAGCGAATCTCGCGAGAGCCTTGTGAAACCCAGATTGGATTGCCCAACCCTTACCCGCAAGCGTTGAATGCGTTCAATGGCTTCTTTTGCGTTGTTGATCGAGGCAAGCCAGGTTGGAAGCTCGAGCTTGAGTCGCTCCTCGACGTGGCGCGTTTGCTCCCAGATTGTCGCCACGTCGCGAGAGAAGCTGTCATCAGCGTAGACAATGTCAAGGCAGTCTCGATGGGCTGCAATGGTGTTCTCGACAAGATCAGCGTGATGCACGGCCAGCTCCAGCACCTCGATTTCTGAGCACGCGCGCCACTCCCGAGCAAGCGCTGAGTAGGTCAGACTCAACTGCAAAGCGGCCTCCAGTGCCTGCAGGCGATCACGGAGGGCATTGACGTCGTGAAAGACCATGGGTGAGACCAAAGATAAGTCGATCGTGGAGCCGCTTCGAGTTGTGCGGGCGCTTTCTCCAGTGCTGCCAGCTGGAAGCAGACGAGTGCGTCCACTTGGCTTGCGCAGCTCTGCCAATGAGTCTTGAGATCTAAAGGTCGCCCATTAGCGTGTGACGTTGCGTTGGTAAGCCCAGAGGTAGAGATGATTTGGCCGGAACAGATTGGCCGCACTGCACATGAGTGGAGAAGTCGCACGTACTTGCGCTTGCCAAGGGCTTGCAAGCGGCGACTGAGAAGGGGCAAGAAAGTATTGACGTAGCGATCGCAATACTTGCTCAGCTGTCGACAGAGTCCGATGGCCTCCTGACGACGTTGGCGAACGAAACAGCAGCAAAAGATGCAAAGGAAACATGAGATCAGCCCCGCGACCATAGTGGAAAGGAACGTGGTGATATGAGGCAGGCAGTCTCGGCAAGCGGTGTTTCTGGTTCCGGTTGAGAAAATCAGGTCAACAAGCAGTGTTGATGGTCAATCAACATGATTGACGCGGCGTTGGTGATTGACAAACCTTGATTTTAGGCGAGGCGGCCAAACGAAGCTGGAAAACAAAGAAACCAAATTAGAAAGCGGGACAAGTTTGGAAAAAAAAAAAAAAAAAAAAAAAAAAAAAAGGCGCAATTATGGTTTCAAAAAGTCGCAGGGTCTACCTGAGCTGAATCCTCGTTGCTCGAACGTTGCAACCAGATGGGAAGATCGCGCACGCCGCGAGTTGCAGCGAGCAAGACGTTCAAAATTTTAAGGCGCTTGGCCACGCCGTCATTTTCGGCAGTGCGGCTCAGTAGTAAGCGACACGCTTCGGCAAGTTCATCAGAGAGCCGAGTGAAAAACACTTGTGCAAAGTTGCCCGAATTGAGATGCCGCAACAAAGAGCTCCCAGCTTTGACGGTGTTGACCAAATGATCAATGGCGGCCTGTGCACTCTCCAGACCTATATCGCAACGAGCGAGCAAATGTGACTGGTGGCCGTAGAAGCGAAACGGACGCAAGCAGATGCAGACATGCTGGCTCACCTGGCTGAAGGGTGGTCATAGCATGAACGCTCGAGGCCGCACTCTCAAGAAATTTGAGAATATCACGGGCTTCATTGCTGGCATCGGTAATGGCGGAATCGACCACGCGCCAACGTTTCACGATTCGAGATTGGGACGAGATGAGAACGTTGATGATATTTTGACAGACAGAACCCTTGAGTTGGTCTGTGATGCTGGCTAAAAGGGTGAGGCGGTGAGTCCAAAAGTCGAACTCCCCCTGCAGACTTTGATATCGCACATCACGATCAAGAGCTGCCTCGGCAAGCAAGTCCTCGACCAGAGAAATCCATTCATCCACGAGCTGTTCTGCCAGGTTGACGGCAGCCAAGGGAATTGCACGGCCTCCAGGCCTCAGCTCAGCAAACTGGGTTTCGTGCGAAACGCGAAGCGTAGCTTTGCGTTGGAACGCAAGTCGTGATTCAACATCCAGCCCATCTGGCATGGCGTTGAGCATGCGATCGACTGACTGTCGGCAGCAGCACATGACCATGAGACCGTTGATGACATGGCACATGCAAAGGGTCAACAGGTAGAAGGAGGAAGCAGGTACGACAACAAGGAAAACGGCAGAGGAGTCAAACAAACAACAAGAAATGGTAAACAACGGCTGGACCTACCACTTTAAAAGCACCGACTTGATCGTCGTTGCACGAGTTCCAATCAGCCGCGGCGATCGCAGGTAGCACCGAGGTCAGGAAACTGGCCTGGATCTCAGGGCCAAGCTCGGGCTCGATTTCTCCCCAGCACACACTGTCAGTGAATGCCGTAACATCAACAGAGGCACTGGAACGCAATGAGCCACCTGACGTTTCAGCTGCCGGGGTTGCCGGAGCGGCTTCACCGCCTGTTTCAACACCGGCGCCAGGGGACTGTGGCCCTAAGGCGCTGACTGGCGTCGATACATCAGGCGCGTCAGCTGGCGTTGGTTGATGCTCATCTTCAGGTGCGCTGATGGTAACATTGCCGCGAGTTCGCGGGGGCCGATCTTGGAAGGACACGCCAGTCGAAGTGGCAGCTCCTGCGATGTCCATCGCTGATGCGCCCACACGGCTACCGCGCATGCGGCGAACAAAGTACACACACTTATCTTGGAAATGAACAGGAACGGTGTTGCTGCACTCAAACTGGCTCACGCCGGTGGCCAGAGAAACAGATGTGGTGGGAATGACGTCGTCGCTGCTGCCTTCGTCATCACTGTGAGCAAAGTCTGAATCGCCATCCGAGCCCTGGTGAATGGCGCCAGTCTCTGGGTCTGAGTCGAAGCCGTTTTTCCAGGAGGAGTAGTCATCGCTGTTTCTGAAAGTTGAGCGACGGGCAGGCCCTTGCTCTTGCCATACAAACAAAGTACGATGCTTGGTGGCTCCTGAGGGTAGATCTGCGCGCTCCTCGTTGTTCTCCTCTGTAAAAGTCAGAAAGCATTCGAGGGTATCCTGTTGGCAGAGAAAGGTTTCCAGTTGCGCAGACTTGAGCGCATCCCCAAACGACTCTTGCAGTTTGGAGACGAGCCACCAATGGCGACCGTCCATTTGCGCTATTCAAGAGTGTGAGATGGCAGGACCGAGCCGTCAGCGTGGATTGTGTTGAGATAAGCAGCAACGAGATGTCCAGCGAAGTACCCAGAGTGGTTCCCAGGGCAGGCAAGCCAACGCGACATACCAGTGACTCGATCATAGTTCATGGTCGCCATGATTGTCATTCGCCGTTACGTGGGCCAACGACGACGCGGGAAACGTCTGGAGAGATCAGTGTATTGAAGACACGAGCCAGGCTCAGCTGGGCTCAACCAGACATGCTGGGCTGCACGTGAGCCCTTGCATTCGGCGTTGGCTCTTTACAGAGTTTACAGAGACTGTATGCTGCGCATGAACCGACATCCACCAGCGAAACGGCGATGAGATGACCTTGTACCGTGCGTGACCAGCAGCAGTCAGCTGACTTGCTTCGAAGAGAAATTTGGCGAGGATCCAGGCAAATGGCTGCCAGAACCTTTATCTGGGAGCCAATCTGTGTGGTAGTGACGTACTTGAAGCTTTGAACAGGTGATCCCGTACTTGTAGCCGTCAGGATCGGCCTGAGCTCGGTTGGCTCAAAGACGGCGGCCAGCTCAAGCAACGTGCAGCAGAAAAAAAATTCAACGACTTGAAACGCGCGAGAGCTGTCGTTGTTAAGCACTTGCTACCACATGTCATATCCAATGCCGTAATTGTCAGATGAAAACAAATGTCGCAACTAAAATGTCATGTCAATTCACATGTCAAACGTTGACATGTTAAAAACAAAAAGGATTTGAGGTACGGCCAACAGCACCATGTATTCCCATCTGGTCACCCACGATAGTACTAGCATGGCCCAACATGGCTTAACTGCGGCGATCGGACGAGAGCCGGTGTATTCCATGTGGTATGACCGTTGGCGATGATTCCAGGGCATACATCTTTATTTGAAGACTCAATCGCTCCCAACTCTGAAAGGAGCACCTTGAACTGTCAAAAGAACTGCGTGACATATCTGCTCCATAGATCATGTCACGCATGGTCCGTGCGGTTGATGGCTGGTTCCGATCGTCGGTGCAGCAGGGCCGTGGTCGACACTTGACAAGGCAACCGTAGCTGGGGTGAATCAGACAGAGTGCTGTTCAGCTCGTGGGGTGCCCGAAGCTCTTGACTTATGCAGCTCGCGAGTGGCTACAGCTGTAGAAATGATACGGCTAACGTATTACAATGGCCAAGTTTCCCGAGTTTACAGTTTGCGTGGCAGAACGATCATGTCGCGCTCATCGTGCATTACGAGCTCGGCCTCGGCGATGTTGCTGCTGACGCTGTCGCCCGGGTGCTTGTGAACGCGCGCGCTTCTCGAGTGGCTCTCCTACACAATTGCCATGGGAGGTGCTGGCGTAAGCTCTTCCCGGCACAACCAGCGCCTCGAGCTGAGAGAAACGCCAGTATTACCCAGCAAACTCTCTTCTTCGATACTCAAAAAGTTGCGACTCAGGAGTGGGCCCACGCCTGGGTCGCTCTTGATGCTAGTATGCGAATCGGGGTTGGGAGAGTGAACGCGGTGGTCACGAGCTGCATTCGCGGGCAAACGGCACGCCTCGGGCCTGAAGAAACGCACCATGTTTCGCAGAGACGTCCATACCCCGTGCGAAAGTTATCCACGATTCGAAACAAACGATCGTGGTCGGCTCTGCAACGCTATCCGTCATTATACACAGAGGGTGCAAATGAGAGTTCCCACGACAGGGGCCGCGTTGATGCACAAGCTCAACCAACGAGAAGTTGAGTACGCTTTGGAACACTCACGCGGCAGAGAAGGTCCAGCATCTGTTGGCGATGCGGCCAAGGCGATGCCGCCAGCCGCCCACGCGGCCGTCGAGCCTAGCACAGTCGTGCTGTGAGTGTCGTCCTTCAAAGGCCCAAATCAGGCATGGCATTTGGAGCGTACGACAACATGGCCACGTTGGCGCAAACGCAGCAGGAACTCGTCTTCTGCCAGTGCTGCCAACGTTTTACAAGCTGTATCCAGCCCAGCGTCAACAGCGTGAGATCAGCTTTGCAACACATACTACACAGCCAGGTGCCGATGGAGAGGATGCAAGGACTCACTTTGAGCCAGATTAATCACTGTGGCAATGTTAGCAACGCGCAGGACATGCCGCCAAACATCTGGCGGCAGCTCCAGCTCCATCATACCCCATTGATTGAACTATCCCATCTGCTCCTCCAACGATCAGTCAGCCACATGCACCTTCAGATCAGCAAGTCTGTAAACGAACGCGATTGTGATTGCCAGGAACCACTGTACAACACCCAGAAGAAAAATTTTTTAAAAATGAAAAAAAATTGAATTTTAAATCAGATTCAACATCTGAAAAAAAAAACCGTTTTCAACCTTTTTCGCGAGTGTGTGTGAGAGTTTGCCGAGTGGCAGTTGGATTGACGGTATTCAAGCACACTGTCTTGGCTGGGGGCTTGGCCAACGACCACTGCTGCGGTCATCAGGCTGGTCTTCGAGAAGTGGTAGAGACCCTGAGGGTAGAGGCCTCACCCGTGCAGCAGGTGTTCGCCTATCTGCCGCCATGTTGAGAGCGCGGCTGCTCGAGCCGCGAATCAAGCCGCGAGGGGCTGAGGAACTAGCCCATTTACCCTTGGTACGCGCGTAATCCATGGCCTGACGCCATTCCGCTTCACCGTGTGCCCGTGTGAGCCTGCATGATGCCAGCCCCACAACACACCTCATGACACGCTTTGTTGGGGGTGGCCTCTAGGCGGAACCCAGCCAAGAGCAACATGTCCGAGTCGTCAGTCTGGAAGTGCGCACCTCTACTGGAGAATGCATGCCCATGCAGATTGAGATTCTCTTTGCTGGCCGCACTGTCACCCTCAGCAGCGGGCATGGGGCCCAGGGCGTCTTTCACAAGTCGTTCAATGGGCAAAGCCGCATCCTCGACGTGGCCGTAGTGCCTGATCTTGCCCAAACCGCCCGTTTGAACGTCTTCATCTTGGAACAGCGATTCCTAGATATCCATCTTGGCGCTGACAACTACCGCATCGCTTCGCCCTTGCCTCTGGGTGCAATCCATGCGCTTGGCGAGCGCTCCGTGCTGGCCATCACGCAGCTCCATGCGAGCCCAGCAGGGGGGCATCGGATGCGCTCCTCGCGCCTCTCACAGCGCCTCTCGCAATCCTTCCGCCGGACGGCAAGTTATGGTGCCAGCGCGTTGGGCGATCGAAGCATCCTTCAAGACCCTGATACCGGCTTGAGCGGCCCCATGCCCAGTCTGCTGATTTTGTGCGACCCGCTCGATGAGTTTGAACCTCTGTACTGGAAACCCGCGGCGACCCCCGAAGCCAATGCTACCTCGGACTCTGAGGGCACCCCCGCAACGACACCAAGCGCCCCACCGCTGCCCCCACTGGTGACGCAACGTTTTGTTGCCATCGTCAAGTGGAATCACCGACACCACGTGGTGACGTATGATGAAGCGACTCAGCGGCACACCCTGGCCACCATCTATGTGGCGCCAAGTGCCGCCATCCGCAATCTAACCGCCCCACAGGACGAGCCGCGCTGCTTCCTAACCGATGCCGTGGTGCTGGATATGCTCCCCGACTCGACGATTCCTGCCACCTCAGTGGAAGTTGTTCAATCACATGCTCAGTCATTGACTCTGGCCTTTGTTTTTAAGGCTCAGCAAAAGATTTTTCATCTCGAGTTTGGTTTGCCTCCCACTCTGCCAGTGCTCAAGGTTATGCTTCCTGGCACCAGCTTGGTGGCTCTGGACTGCTTTGCCACTGCCGTTCGCCTCCAGCTTGTCCTTAATCCCGACAACACACTCTCCCTGTACAGCGGCCATGCCCTTGTTGCCATGGTCAATTGCAGCAGTGCCGAGGGTTAGTGTCCGTACCCATCTTGCGATCTCATCAACCTCCTGCTGTCAACTCTTCCTTCGGATTTTTGTTTGTTGTTGTCCTGTTTTGAGCTTTTTGCTTCTCCTGGCATGTTGCATCCTTGTCTTACACAGTGCGGCGCATTTCCTAGGACGGCCACTGCGCGTGGGTCAGGTCCTACACGCTTGTCAAAACCAATTCTCAATCGTTCCTCTGGGCCAGGTAAAGTTGGGCATATAGCTACCGCCTATCTGCTCACAGTCTTTTTTCAGACTTTGATAGCCTCCCCCTGGAGCACCACCTCGCCCATCAAACTCCTCCCCGCCTCCGTCCCCTGCTTTTGTGCAGCGCTCCCGCCTGCGCTTTCAGGTGGCACTCGATGAACTTCCACATGATGCCAAAATTATTCTCGAAGCCATCTGGTGGAGCAATTGCGCACAAGCAGGCCATGCTCGAGAACCCGTGCGGGGCCCTGTCTCGGGAAATAGCGAGCCTCGCCCACAGTTTGAGTGCATTTCCTCTCAACAAGAAGCCTGGGTTCGATTGCTGCAGCAACTGCTAACCGTTGATACCACGTATGTGCGCATGGCCAATTGCGTTGAGTTCCACAGGATCGGACCGGACTGAGCCAATGTTCAAGATTCTAACCCCTGTGATTGCAAGGCCTTTTCTCATGACTTACCGTTACATGCCATTTGCTGCACGACTTTTGGGATCTTTCTGCCAGGTCGTGGTTAGAGTTTGTTGGGGCTTTATTGCGAGTAGCTCAAATCGAGTCCATGGACGGGAACTTCAGCGAGCCTGCCAGGTCGGCAGTTACCTTACTCTCCTCCACTGTCCTGGCATGCCTCAAAATCCGATATGGTTGGGCTCACAAGATACGACTGCACGGTTGCTCTGAATTGCCTGCCCACCACAGCCCATGGGCGCGCGTACTGCAGCATACAAAGGGCAGCGTGGAGAGTCTCGCTACTCTGCAGCTGTCGGGAGAGCCGAATGACTTTGCTTTTGACCTTTTGTGTCTTGTTTTACTCTGTGTGCAAGAACAAGCAATGCATACCCTGGCCTCTCCGACCAACCTAGCGCTTCTAGCTGCCCGGTACGGACCTCTTCTGGCTGTCCTCTTTTGTCTAAAAATGTAGTCAAGCCAGAGGAAGCAGCTGCCTCACATGCACACCCCCTGCCCCAAATTGGTCAGATTGGCGCAATGCTGTGGCCTGCCAGGTTTAGCACGTGACCTGCAGCTGAGGTTTCAATTACCTGCCCTTGGCCCTGTGCAGGTCGCAGCGGCCAAGCCGATACTCACAGAGGTACGATGCTTGTGGTTAAAACATGTCCATGCATTACTGGCAGCGGCGTGCCTTTTAACCCTCGCTTGTCGACACCACTTAGTTCCACAAATGCATGTTTGCGCCATTTTTCATCGATCGAGAATTTTTGAGCCCGCCCGTGACTGAGACATCTCGGCCGCGATCCCTTACCCTCCCATGTCATTGGCCTGTTCTGGCCGCTCTTGGAGACATTTTGGAGGTGATGCGCGCTACCCCTGATGGCCAACCTGACCCGGCTGCCTGCATCACCATTTGGACCACCCACGGCCTTGACCGTGCAACATTGGAACGACTTCCTTTTGGTAGGCATTCATCGAGAAGCGCCCGCCGCGCCTTCTCCGTGTACGTCGGGGTTGCTTGGTCGTCTCGCTCACTTGAGCCCCCCCTGTGACATGCGTAGCCATTCAATGCTTTCTTCGCGACGTCTTTGAGCGTGTTCAAGAGCCGTACCCAGCCACCTGGAAACTCGAAGCTTATCAGCTCATTGGCCGGTGCGGACCATGTGGAAGGCTGAATACGCTGTGGTTGACCTGTGGTGGCGTTTCTGCTATTCGTGGTTCTCTACGCTCACCTCTGTTCTCTTTGCTCTGCTTTTGAACACCGCATTGCCCCAGATTGGACTACCTAGCACAGAAGCAAGCGCTTCATGCCGGTGAGACGCTAAGCCGCCACAAATCCCCTTTCGCCGCTTTCAACAGCTGTCGGGTCTCATCCTGTCAACACTCCTATGTGCTTCCTGCAGACCCTGACTTTGACCCAGTAGTGGATATCAATACCCGTGAGTGGTCCCAAAAATAGCCCAGCAAAGCTCTTGCTCTGATTTTGGCCAAGCTGTTTTCGCATTCATGCATGCATTTGATGCTGCTTGGTTGGTTGGTTGGCACTCTGCTTTTCTATTTTCAAAGGACAAATTGTTCTGCACTCGGATAACGATGGCACCGAAGTTGATGGCCAAGTCACTGCCTTGCGCTTTCCTCTGGATCAGCGCGTTGTTGAGGTGAGATCGTTCCGCTACGCAAGTGCAATGCGCCTGCATCCACGGCGGTGCCGACTCTTTTTTTTTCTTTTTCTTTTTTTTTTTTTTTCTTGAAAATATTCCTGACATATATCCGCCTAAACCGTCACCAACGGGATCATAGATGCGACGCTGTTTGTGCTCGAGTGTCCCTGTAACCGTGGTAGTACCGAAGACGGCAGAGCTGTCTGACCATGAGCTCCAGGCAGAACAGGTCCGCAACCAACTTGCATCAAAACCCCAGTGCCATGCACCCCCGCCGAGCTTGTTTTGGAAACTCGGTTTCTGCCATCTCAATGCTGTTCATTCTTGCGAGCAGAAATCCATGTTGCAGATCATATCAATGCGCACGCAGGCTTTGCCTGTAGGGCGAGCCATGTTAACGTGCCGCACCCTGAATGCTGTGCCCACCCAGAAACTCAAGGTAAAGAAGTCCGTAGTATCAGCAACACCAGGATATTGCGTGCCAGTCCCTTTTTTCAGCCACTTGGCAGATGAAGTGCTCAGTATTGCTTGTTCTGCTCGCTTCTTGTTCTTTGGGTGTGAATGGTGTAGCACCCGCCGTTGAATCTATCGGGCAAGCTGCGACCAACAGGAACTGTTTCCTGTGTGTGGGATAGCATCAATGGCGGTGGGTTTGCCAGTGGATGAATGGCCTGAAGTACCAGGAATCGGCCCTGGGCAACTCGTGCCACCGCCTCACTTGTTCTTGTTTTGTCTTTTCGCTCTGCTTTGTTTTTGTGGTGGTGGTGCATTTTGCGTGGTTCGGCTGCGGGGGCATCGGATAACTTCTGCTACCACGTCTTGACAACACAGTGCCTGCGCTGCGATGGCCAAATTTTCACAATGGTGCGTGACGCTCAGTGTTAATCAATCTGCTCGCCCCCGGTTCTTTGGCGTGTATGCACTAAGAATTCATCTTCTTTTTGGTCCAACAGGTGTTGCCTTGGGCCTACGCGTGCCGGCTCGAGTGACAACTCAAAATGTTCGGACATATGAGCCTTTCCTGCCTCGTGGCAATGAAACGGACGAAGACACGTACGCTGGTTTCATCTATGGCCTTGCCTTGAATGGCTACTTGCGGCACCTGCGCACCCCAAGCCTGTATCATCTCCTCTCGAGTGGGCATGTTGCCACAATCGTGGCTCTTCTTCTTGGACTATCAGCCAGCCTCGTCGGCACCATGTCATCAAACGTTGCCAAGGCGCTGAGTATGTGGCATTTGATCAGCCTCGACCAGGGAATAAAACTACCGTTGAGCCCTCTCAGAAACCAAACTTACAGTTCTTGCTGGTTTTCGTTTGATCGTACCCATCCGAATGCCATTGTGTGTTTAGGTATTCACATCCCAGCTCTGATGCCGTCTTCCACGTCAGACGTGGCCGTCGATGGTGGGTATGAGAGGACCTGTTCAGTCCTTCTTTTCTGTTTATTTCTCTTCATCGTTTTTTCCTATGCCATGTCGGTGTAGGCGTGATCCAGTGTGCAGCCATCGTGGGTTTGGGCCTGCTTTACTGTGGCACAAAGCACCGACGTAGCATCGAGGTACTTATATCGCACCCAGATGAACCTCGTTTGGTTTTCTTTTATCTTGCCCTTCCAGCTAAGGCTTGAGGTTGTGGTGTTTGTTTTTTGTTGTTGTCTTACTTTTATTTATTTTTTTTTTTTTTTTAATTGGTTTGGGCATGTGGATGACCATCTCAATGACCTTGCATTCGCCACAGGTGCTTCTGAACGAATTTTCTCACCCAGCCCCGATGAGCGATGCGCACAACCTTGACCAGGGGGCATACGCCCTTTCTGTTGGCTTTGCATTGGGCTTGATGATTTTGGGCGAGGCACGTCAGATAAGCTTCTCTCGCGTTCTGCATCCTCCCATTTGTCTTAAAGTGCCATCTCCGCTCTTAACTCATCCCTTACCATACATTTGCTCGCACCCGACAGGGCGAGTCGGCCAAGCACATTCAAGACCTACGCATCCTCGACAAGCTTACCCTGTTTGTCCACGGGGGGCGCAAACGACGCAACATGCTCCGTGCTCACCGCGAGGTCGGTCGGCAGCAAGACTGCAGAAAAGGCGGTCAAATTGGCCCTAGGCCGACAAGACATTTGAGAGCTTCATCGTGGGCCGGGCTGCCACAAAAAAAAACCCTGCATAGCCTCGTTGTTGGAACATTTGAGCTTATCGGGTGGCCTCGGACCTGCCTTTTTCTTCCTGTAGGCACGGAATGAACAGTGGATGGAAGGCGAACAAACGAATACCGTTCACAATGGACCAGGTGCTTTGATGGCTTTGAGTCTAGCATTTTTCAACACCAACAACACCACAGTGGCAGACCTGATTCGCACACCACAGACAGAGGTATGGTGAAAGCTATGTGCCTTGTGCGTGCGCTGCGGACGTTCGGGCCCCTGTCTGACGACCTGGTACCTGATTGCTTACCCGCCTTGCCAGTTTTTGGTGAATCATACAACTCCCGAGCTGTTGATGCTTCGTGCCGTCGCATACTGGTTGATCATGTGGAACGACATTCAGCCGACTGAGGAGTGGCTTGTCTCATTGCTCAACCCCGAATTCCGCCACTTCAGTTTGACTCGGGTAAGTGCGCATTGATCGGCTGAGCAGGAGTTAGATCACGCCTCATAAGTACTTACCCCGCAATTTTATCCCGAGTAGAGCAACGCAGACCTGCCCGGTCATGGCACAGGCCGGGTCGCTGCTTTGCGCACGGCCTTTGCTTTTACCGTGGCTGGGTGCAGCTTTGCTTTGGGCCTCAAGTGCGTTTTCTTCAACCCGACTCGCATTGTTTATGGCCGGACGCTACCTTTCCCGCCCGCCCGCGCATACATGTATAAATGAGTGTCCGGCTTGAAGCGTGGCGCCTCTCATCCACAGTGACTGGGACAGGTTTGCTGGAAGCCGCAATGCAGTAGCTCGTGGCTTGCTGCTCCGCGTTGCGAGCTGGTTGACGACTGAATTACATGCGGACGTGCGGCAAGACGTTGGCATATCATCAGTATTGCTCTGCCGATCACCCGTGCTGAGCGCATTGGGCATGGTCATGTCAGGCAGTGGTGACATTGATACCTTGCGACTACTGCGAACCCTTCACGCCGAAACTTCTGCAGATGTATGGAACTCGTCCCCCGCCCCCTTGGATGTGGCATGACGCGGGGGCAAGAGCCTGTTTTCATGTTTTAAGTCCTCAATATTACGGTGCTCGTTCGGGTGCTTTCCGTTTAGATGTCTTACGGCTATCACATGTCCATTGCTACTGCCATTGGCATGCTGGGGCTGGGCGGCGGTACTTGTGTCTTTGACACGGATGCTGTTTCAATCGCATGTCTTCTCATGGCCTTTTACCCCATCTGGCCCTCCACACCAACCTCAAATGCCCAGCACCTGCAGGTTTGTCCCTGGCCGATCCCTCGCTTGCTCACTGCAGGGGAACTTAAATTCTTCACGCATGTCGTGTGCACGGCACCGGCAGGCCATGCGCCACCTGCACATGCTAGCCGTACGCCGCCGCGTGTTGATGGCATTTGACGTTGAAAACCAACGTCAAGAGCACGTCCCCCTGAAGCTGCTCATCAAGCGTGGAAAGGATCAGGAAGAGGTGAATGCAATGTCGCGATGAACCTGAGTGCTGGCACTCTGTGATGAGCAAAACCTGTTCTGACGAGCCCCATGCTTTGTGCCGACAGACATTGGAAGGACTAACGCCGCTGCTGTTGCCTGAGGACATCAAGCGCGTGTTGTCCGTGGATGTACTTGGTCAGCGTTTCGAAGGGCCCCAACTCCGCCCAAAGTAAGTTATGGCCTTTGGCCCCCTCGTGGTGAGGACATTGATTCGGCTTTGACATCTGACCGGTGTGCCCCCTCGACGCAGAGAGGTCAAATGGCATCGGCGCTCGCTAAATGCGTCGGGCACCATTTATGTGGTCCCAAAATCAGCAGCTGTGCCGTATCGCCGCCATCGCAAAGTCAGTCAGAAGTTCAAAAAGTGTACGCGTGTGAGCTTGCTCAATAATCGCTCCCACCATGTTGCTGACTGACGAGCCTCCTTGAAACTGCTGTTAGATACTTGAAGCCCTACTGGAGCATGGACCTGTCGGAGCTTTGGACGCTGACCAAGCTCTTGCTCAGGTGAGTCATTCTACCAGACTCACCAAAAAGCACTGGCCCCGTCACGCCGACCTATGCTTTCTGGACCCCTGGCTCACTTGATGCGGAACGATACATTAACTAGACTCACCCAGCCGAGGCCGATGAGGCAATCCCAAAGCACAACGAGGCAAAATGTGCCGTCGTCGAGCATGTGCTCGCGCTGCTCGGTTGGTCTATCGCATTCAAGCAGTCAAGTACTGCTGGTGTGCCGGCATGTGCACTGCACTTTGCATTCCCTGAGTCGTGGTCACGTTCTGACTGCCTGTGCGACGTGCGCTGTTGCTTGGATTTCATTGCTCCGCCGCCCTTTAGATCGTGCGATGCAAGAAGGTGTAGCACGACCCGCAACTGAGCTGACACCATTGGTGGAAGCCGCCTCGATCATGAGTCGCAATCTGCCGGTGCGTATCTTCAAGGTTTGAGCTCATGAGATCGCTTAAAAAAACACTGTAAATTGCCAATCACGAACATTGGCTTCAATATTTGGTGTACATAGATGGATGCTTCAGACCGTGCAGCGCTGGTGCGCTTGCGCTTGCAGGCCCTGCGCTCGCGTTGGCTCGATCACTGGAGCCAAAATGCTAAGCATATTTTACAAGAAGGGGCGCAATGGCTGACCGCGCAATGGCCTGCCGCTCCTTCAACGCCGAGTGCCGACATGCGCCTGCTGGCTGCATTTTGCACGGGCTGTAGCCTGGGCATGGGCTTGCTAGCCAAGTTGCCGGCGGTCACCACAGATTCATCAGCTCCGACCACACTAGAGACGGCCTTGGGTCACTCGTTAACTTGGACCATCCTGTCGCAAGGCTTAACGCTGGACGTTGACCAGGCTGCGGCCTGTGCTTTAGTGCTCCTGGCTGGCAGGACTGTATGATGCGCGGTTCATGCACGTTTGTAGCAGGACTATCGCGAGGATAAGATTGTCACAGAGGGAAGTGAGGGCGACGGTTTAATCTTGTCTGCAATGAAGGTGGGTGAACCAAGACAATCGATGATTCAAGTACTTGGGTAAACAAACCTTCCAGGCGCTCAATATGCGTGGTCATGTCCTTAACGCGGGTCGAGAGGTTGCTCCAGATGATGCAGAGGAATAAGACTGTCAAAAGCTATTTTGGCAGAAACACAAGAAGGTGGGGTGGGTGTGAGGAGGAGTTGGGCTGGTCGGTCCGCAACAAGAGCATCGCGTATAATGAGAAGCCCCTACCAGAAATACGACGGCAATCTCCAACGAAAAGAAACGGGACACAAAGTCAGAAAGATCGAAGCCTTGACGCTCATGCACAGCAGTTTGTTCCACAGCGTCGGGCTCGGACTTGGGGGCACCGCGCCGACCGCTGGCCACATCTCGAAGAGCCTTGATATAAAGCTCGTATGTGGAGGTCATGCCCGTCTAGACAGAGAGTGGTCTGTCAGCGACGAGCCCAGGATGTGAGAGCGCACTCCGCGACACGAGGCTTGACTAATACCTTTGCGCTTCGCTGAATGACGCCCTTGATGACGACAGACTTGTAAAACTTCATGCCAGCCGAGACACTGATCTTAGTGGATCGACCCTCATCGACTTCTTGTAGGATGACCCGCACCAAGGTTGAAAAGCTGTTGCCTGCAGAGTGCGGCAAACAATGTGAGGGGAAAAAATGAGGCGGGGCGGCTGCGCTCGAAGGTAGGATTGAAGAAAACGTGCACATGATGCTTGCACTAACCGTAGGGCACCTCGGGTGTCTCGGTCTGAATGTCCACAACGTAGGCGCCTTTGGAGCGCACGACGTATTTCTGGTGCTCTACTGCATGGTTGGCCTTGACCAAAGCTGACTTGGGAATCAGGTACGAAAAGTCACGCGTCCATTCGTCCGTCCATTCAGTAAACTGCACTTCTGAGTAGCCCTTCTCCTTACAAAACGCCACAAGGGCCGGAGAGTCCTCCTCAAACATGAGCTATTTCGTTCGGAATACCAAGCATCACACGAGAGTGTCCACACAAGCCAACGCGCATGCATACAACAAGCGACACGGCAAGGAATCGTGAGCGCGTGCTTTCCAGCAGCAATCCATCAAGGAAAAAAAGCCTCGTGCAATGTGAGACAAAGTCTGAAACTTGCACCTTGTTGGTCCGATGGACGGTGTAAGGTAGCGTGGATTCTGCCAAGGGCCATTCCAACGGGGGCGGCAATTCTGAAGGTGTGGGTGTTTCGAGAACATCATTGTCAACCTCATCATCGGAGAAGTCAAGATCGCTATCTTCGTCCTCGTCAGGTGTAACGTTATCTGGGCCGCGCATTAACCACGCTTTCACTGACCCAACAAAATGTACAAGATATCACTGACATGAGAATACTGGCCAGCAGGCACAATGTCTATGGGTGATTCTTTGCTTACATCGTACACGGCAAATGGAGCCGTGAAGGGCAAGCTTGAGGTAGGGCGGTACGACGCGCATTTTCTTTTTCTCAATGTAGAGATCAAAGGGCAGCACGCGCTGATCGACCTCTTTTTGGTTATCCTCAACCACGGGAACGGCTGACAGTTGAATGGTCGTGTGACCAAGCGTGTACCGCAGCTACCAAGTCCAGAAATCCAGCAAGCTCAGGTAAGGGATGTGCAGTCTGACGCAGTGAAGCAGTACACATGGGTCGAGCGAGGTGTGGTGGGATTGTGATGGTGCCGTGTATTGACTCTCGCCGCATCCAAATGTTGATCAACAACGCAGAGTGACAAGCCCTTCGCACCCCAAGATGACTAATGATGCTGGCAGAGATGCGCACGGGCGTCAAGAGCGTTGAGTTGTGCACCTGCGAATATAGACACACAAGAAAACGGGAAGCTGATGAATGGGATGGGATGATGGCGCACAACTGTCCAGAAAAGGCTGCCAAAGACTGCGATGCTTTCCCCGTGGGTCGACATGGCTGGGACGAGCGCCTGTAGGGTGGTGTACAAACTTCGATGGTTGAGCGGAGCACAACGTTGTTCAGATCAAGATCTCGCGGTCCATTTGGCTCCAGATTCCATTTTTCAGTCCGCTGGCGTGTGCCCAGCACCTGTACGCAGGTTGGCATGGGCAGATGAAATGTGCTCTAAAGAGACTTGGAGCAGCATTTGTATCGAGGTGGGGGCGCTGGGACAGTAGACGTGCCTGTGTTTGAAAGTACATGGGGATGGCTCGATGCGAGTCCACCTCGGGCAGCTCAAACGCCTTGATCAGTTGAACAGCCAGCCTATCGACGCACGGATGAGTTATGCCAGAGTCTGTTCAGATACCAATCTGGCATGCTTTCTCAGAAAAAGCCAGTAGTTGAGCTGGCAGGTCAATATGCAGTGATAAGGCCTAGGACTAACGTGTAAGTCCCGGGAGCCAAGCTGCGGCCGGTAACTTGTTGTGCCAGTTCGGAGAGTTCTGCAATGCTGAATGCACTGCGACGACGAAAGCTAGCGCTGAGTCCATCCTCTGCCACAAGGTCGATCGGGAGGCACGTGCAGATTAGGACGTGGCGTCAACATGTTGGGATGAACCGCGGTGCTCTCTTTGGCAGGCACTGACCGGACAGCGGATCAGGAATTGAGGACGTGGTCATGCGCTCAATTTTGAGTGTGAGTTGCATGCTGCCTCGCACATGACTTTTGTCTGAGCGCTTCTGCAGCTCAAACCACTTGCGCTCCTGGGGTCGAAGTACTTGTGAGATTTGGATTAACCGGGGGCGCGCGGGCGGTCACTGCTGAATACAGACCTCCATGGTGGTTGGGAAAAGCACATCTTTAACTGGAATGGCAACCTATGACATGATATCGATTGCCATGTAGCGTGACGGGCACTTCCAACCCGAACCGCTGGAGCGCACCTCAGTCAACGCACCTGGCCCAGAAAGGCTTGCTTGCCAATATTTTGAATGGTGCCCGTCATCTGCGCAATTTTGACCATACGCAACACATTCCAGGGTGCAAAGTGGATGCGGGTGTTGTGGTGAGATAATGCTTGAGCCCGCTTGCACGCTCGATCTCTTCCCCTTGGTGTGGCAGGCTGAAGCAGCAGGTCAACAGACCTTGCCAAAGCGATACTCGTTGAAAACTTGCAGATGAATGATACGAGGGTCATCGTCTTTGGGGCGAAACCCGAGGGGGATTGTGAAGGTTTCGTTAAATATGGGATTGAGCTCACCGCGCTGGGTGTGAGTGCGCCCGAATTCGGCCGAGTCCAGCGCGACCTTGACATATGGGTCGCTCTTGGCATTGAGATCCTTGGCCAGGAGATGACTGCAACAGTGTATCGTCACGGAGAGCACATAATCGTCAAAGGTGTCATCCACGGTGAGATTGGGCAACGCCCCCAATTGATCAGCCTCCTCGTCAGCCGCAGCACCGCGGCCATGATCTGCCGAACTAGCACTGTGGCTTTTGCGCCGCAACAAACTCGACAGCATGACGACGGCACGCAGCACTAGGCTCGGCTTGTTTCCCACGAGTCCTGCAGGAAAGCACCCGGCACCCCGCTCGCCACTCAAATCACCCGCCCCGGCCACACACAAAAACGCAGGCGACGCGCTTCGAGCAAGCGTTGAGTGCCCAATATCCCACCAACGCTCACCCGGATCGGTGTAGCGTCCGGTGTGACCACGAGCCCCAAGATTGATGAGAGGTCGTCCAAAGTCCAAAATGAAACAACATCCTTCTTCGTGTGTGTGTGTGTTGTTCTCTCTCTCTCATCTCATCTCTCGTCTCTCTCATCTCTCTCTCACCTCATCTCATCTCTCTCTCTCTCTCTCTCTCTCTCTCTCTCTCTCATCTCTCTCTCTCTCTCTCTCTCATCTCTCTCATCTCCTCTCTCTCTCTCTCTCTCTCTCTCTCTCTCTCTCTCTCTCTCATCTCTCTCTCTCTCTCTCTCTCTCTCTCTCTCTCTCTTTTGTCAAAAGCAGTGCAGCCAAGAGGCCTCCACAAACGGTCGACTGGGTCCGAGGAGGTCTGTGGGCCTTCTTGGCTCTCAGTAGTGCCTTGCAGGCTGAGAGCCGGTGGGTCGTGACAGGTGCTGGACTGAAATGGCTGCTGTGCGTCTATCTCGCGGGCTGCGGGCAGCTGCAAACTCGTTGTCAGGTGTTAGTTGGCCCGTGGAAGATGGACGAAGGGTGGCCGCCGTCATCGGCGGCGGTATCGTCGGCACAGCTGTGGCACGCCAGCTTCAGCTGAAGCGGCCCGACTGGCGGGTTGTGCTGCTTGAAAAGGTAGGAGCTCAAGAATCAGACTGTTTGGTGTAAACTGGAGCAACATGACGAGCAAACTGTCTGGCCGCCGCAGCCCTCAGGCCTCCCGATATTCTTGCGCGGGCTCTTGGTGCTTAGAACGAAGCTTTGGCCGACGAGCAAACGGGCCATAATAGCGGCGTCATCCACTCGGGTGTCTATTATACGCCCGGCTCCCTCAAAGCGCGCTTGTGTTTGCGTGGCAACGAGCTGCTCTACGATTTTTGCGCACAACAGAACATTCCAGTCACCCGCTGTGGGAAACTGATTGTGGCCACCCACGAGGCTGAGCTGCCTCGACTACAGGCGCTCCTGGAGCGTGGCCAAGCCAATGGCGTGCCGGGCTTGGAACTTCTTGAAGGATCGTCTGCCGTCCAGGCACACGAGCCGCACTGTGCCGGCATCGCCGCCATCCATTGCCCGAGCACGGGTATTGTGGACTATCGTCAAGTCACTCAGGCGCTTTGTGATGACCTGGTGGCCCGAGGCGGTCATGTCTACATGGGATCTCGGGTTGAGCGTATTGACAGCAAGGAAAATGAAGGAGTGCAATTATATGTGGCCGGTGTCTCTACCCCTCTACACGCCGACTATGCCATCGGATGTGCCGGCGTATACAGTGATCGCCTGGCTCGAGTCACCCGTGTGGACGGCACCTCCTCACCCGACGGCACCTGGCATCATCTTGCCCGACCTCCCCCCTTGCCAGACATTGTTCCTATTCGTGGCGAGTATTTGGTCCTGCGTGAGGTGTGTGTATGTGTTGGGGTCGATACTCAAACGGACCTCTGAATCTGTTCGCTTATGCCATGTGCTCAAGCGAGTTCTTTGCGTGCGTCTTTGTAGAACAAGCGTCACCTCGTGCGCGGAAACATTTACCCTGTACCTGACCCAACGCTGCCATTTCTGGGCGTCCACTTTACCCCACGCATGGATGGTTCCTTGTGGTTGGGTCCAAACGCTGTTCCCGCCCTGGCCCGCCAAGGCTACTCGTGGCGAGACATCTCTTGGTGAGCCACGATGCCGATCAAGATATCTCACTCCTTCTTGGCCTGATTGCATGAGCACTCTCACGTTTCAATGCTTTGTGTGTTATGATCTTGCTCTCTCGCTCCTTTTGAACCGCGTCCATCGCGCGTTCAATCCAATCGCGCGTTCAATCCATTTGTGTGCAGGCCAGATTTGTGGGACATGGTCGCATCTCGGGGCTACTGGCGATTGGCATGGCGACACCGCTGGTTCGGGCTCGATGAAATTCGACGCTCCCTCGATTTACGCGCCCAGGTTGGCACGAGTGCATGCGCGCCTCGCATAAATGGTCTCAGTCTGAAGAGACTCATTGGCGTGGTCTTCACACATTGTTAGGTGCGGTACTTGCAGCGCTATATCCCTGATATCCAAGTCGATGATGTGCAGCAAGGCCCGGCTGGTGTGCGAGCACAGGCTCTTGACAAAGCTGGTCAACTGGTTGAGGACTTTGTGCTGGAAACCGTGGGTCCAAGTACGTACGCTCGTGTGGTTGCATTCGCCTTGAAGAGCGCCCAGGGTATTTTCGTTGTGGTTGTGTTCACAGAGTCTCACGCGGGACTGGTGCGAATGCAGACACGCTGCACGTAATCAATGCACCCTCCCCGGCGGCCACCTCTTCTTTGGCCATCGCCGAATATGTAGTGACAGAAGCCGCCGGCCGTCTTCATTGGGATCCGTAACTGTCTATGATTATTGTCACGGCAGCAATTGAGCTTGGCTGCCTGTTGCGCTATTGACCTGGTTCGCTCGATGGTGCCCGCCCGCGCCACTCCTGGTTGTTGGCATCCTGCTCTGTTCATAGTGTGGGTGGTGCGTCTCGCATGCAGGCAGAAAAGAACTTATCATGGTAGTCGCTGGCAAGAGTCAACTTTTAAAGGCCAACATCCATGCCCTGAGTTGTCTGAGCTGCTCCTTGACGACTCTGCGACTAGAAGACACTCCACCGTGGCCTTGGAAGGCTAAAAATTGATCATTCTGTTCGAGCAAAAGGTTGAAATTTGTTTTGCGCGAAATCCAACACAGCCAGAAGGGGGTTTTTTTCCTTTTGATGTGTCGATACCAGGATGTATAAATATAACACGAGTTTTCTTTGGATGAAACAAAAACCACCTATCACGGCGTAAAGCAGGTGCCGCAGCGATGCTTGTTCTCCCACAAGGAGGCGCGTAGTGTGATGCTGGATCAGGGCAAAGGTACATTTGGTCTTTGATTTGAAACCTTTTTTCGTTTCATGAATTCCTAAAGGGTTTTCCCTTGATTTTCGATGAATTTAAGCTTTGTTTTTGTTTTGGCTCAAACTCAGACTCAATGGTTGATTTTACAACACGGTGAGTGGAGGCCAGGGAGTTTACGCTGGCGCTCACCTGTGAGACACGAGGAACATTTCTGGTTTGATTTTTGAAGACTCAGATACGCGCGGTGACTCGTGTTTCAGGCATCAGGACGGAACACGCGTCGACGCCACTAAAAATGTGTGTGGGCGAGGTCCAAAAACAGCAAAGAACAACGCGAGATGATTGCTTTTTCAACTCTTAGAAGGCCCGTTCCTCGTCAGTTTACAGTCAAGAGCTCGTTCGAGCGCTGTTCGCATCGCTGCATAACATCCCACATGTGATGGCTGACGGCTACAATAGTGCGGCATTCCTCAGGGTCAAACTGGAACATTTCTCGCGTGGCTGTCAGAATCATTTCCTGCATCCCGACAAATGGTTGAAAAGGTTGGAAAAATGAGGCAAAATGGAGCTCAAATCAAACTCGCTCCGCTGAAGCGTGCACAGTCGCTGCACGGCACGAAGAACAAAATGACGAGGCATTGTCGCTGGCACAAACCTTAAACTTGATCAGCATGGGTTGAAGTGTGGTCACCTGGTGACAACCCAGAAGACCACATGCTAAAACCGGACTGACGTGCTGAACAATTTCATAAAATCTATGCGGGTCGCATCGAACAACAACTGCTTGAGAAAGCCCGCATCGAACACCGCTCAAGAGCATCATGACAAAAAAAAATGGCAGGATGGGTGGTGCAGTGTGAGCCCGACATACGAACCGTGTCATCAAGCCTTCTGGAATGCAGGTACTGCGGCGAGCCGTCAATACCGACCAAATGGCCGTACACAGTGTCTGCGTACAACATGGTCCAAGAATTAAAAAAAAAAAAAAAAGGTAGCGCTTGAATCCCGTATGATAACCACCTTGTGAAACAAGCCAAACGCGTTCAAATGAACAACACACCTTCTCTTTCACAGCGCGAGGCACCCAGCTGTTGCTCATGACGGATGTGACAGATGAGGGCAGCTCCTGCATGCCAGAATACCAAACCCCGAGTTTAGAGTGCGCACCACACCAGACATGAGAATGAAGAATGAAAAACAAAACAACAACAACAACAAAAAAACAACAACGCCACAGTAATATATCTCGGGTGTGGCTGTGCGTACGTCCAAGCCTTCAAAGGCTTCGAGTAGAACATAGTCGATGATGCAGTCAAAAAGCGAAATTTCAGCACAGCCACGGCTGAGTAGTTCGTCAAATACAGCTGCAAGAGCGCCGGGACGTGATGTGTGAGCTAGAATCCCCAAGGAACATTTTTGGACAGTTGGCCGAGAAAGCAAAGCCAAAGATGCTGAGGAAGCAGGTCGTACTGTCGGCATCTGCATGCTCAACAAAGTGCATGGTGCTGTTCCAGGCTTGATCAAAGGCGGCCACATCGGCGTTGGCCACAGCAAGTACGCGAGACAGCATACTGCGGCCGACCTCCGCTAGCCAGCGTCGCTTTGCCTCCTCCTGCATCAGGCACGTAGAGCCGAGACGGATACAGTGGAGGCGGGCTAGAAAATCCTTCTTGCTGACGCAGCCCGTGACGCGTGTGCGGTCGTTGCTGTATTTGACACCGTTCGACTCCACCAAGGTGCTGGCCAGCTCATAAACCGACATGGAGACGGTACCAGAATTTAGCGCGCTTGGCTCGATATGTGGCAGCTCAGGACTGCCAGCGTCTTCGTCAACGGCAAGCGTTGTTGTGTCAGGTGTGTGATGATGCGCCGGCTCAGAAAGGGCGTGGCGGTCAGCAGCAGAAAGAAACGAATCCTCGGATGCGGCCTGACTACGAGCATCAAAATCAGGTCGAGCACCGGGAGTTGAGGCTGCATCGACATCGGAAATCCATTTGGTAACTCGATCGTGAGTGCCCGAGGCAGCAGGAGATTCCGAGCCTGCAGCTTCTGCGGCATCGTATAGGCGCGCCAAGACGCGGCGTAGATGGCGCACTTTGAGGGGAGCACCCGAGCCTGCGATGGGATAGGACAGCTAGGATGAGTGGTGACAAGGGGTGACGAGCATGGGCACGACGCTCATGATCAACGAGGTGATATCGATGAAGGTTCAAGAGGGATAAAATGAACAACACAGAAAACATTTGAAGCGATGCCACAGCGAGGAGCTAGCGGAGTCGTCAAATTGGTTCGGTCTACGTACGAATGGCGGCTTGCAGTTCGCCCTCAAGTTTGACACAGAGAGCTTCGATTGCAGAGACGTGAGCAGGGCTGATGGCGGACGTGACTGGGGTCTCATCCTCATTTTCCAACAAAAGTGGAAGGGATAGAGGC